TCAGGGACCTTGCAGTCACCACAATCCTCCAGTGGTCACTCGCCTGGAAGGGAAAGCAGGCCCTGACTGAGCTGTCCCTCTCCTTTCACTCCTGACTCTGCCCTTCACACTCTAACTGACCTACAGAGTCCCAGAACACCTGCTCTCAGAAGCCATACAACAGCCCATGATGTTAGCTCCTGCCACCTGCCCCTCCTACTCAGCCTCCAGCACTCCGCACAAACTCAGCCACCGCGCAAGCCCTCCACCCCCATCCACCTCCCACCCCCCGGGCGTCTCCGTGGGGACAGTGAGCTCCTGCGAGCCTTCCTGTGCCCGTCTCTCCATCGTGCGCATCGCATGGCACACTTCGGGGGTCTGTACAGATGGCTACTGTCCTACTACCAGCCATGGGCAAACTACGGCCCGCAGGCTGGATCCGGCCCGTTTGAAATGAATAAAACTATTGAAAAAAAAGACCGTACCCTTTTATGTAATGATGTTTACTTTGAATTTATATTAGTTCACACAAACACTCCATCCATGCTTTTGTTCCGGCCCTCCGGTCCAGTTTAAGAACCCATTGTGGCCCTCGAGTCAAAAAGTTTGCCCACCCCTGTACTAGACTATGAACTCCTTGATCAAGGACAGTGACTTTTCATCTTCGTATCTAGTTCAATGCACAGAGCATACAGTGTAAAAAATATGAAAATAAATTAAAGCCCGGCCGGCGGGCTCAGTGGTTGAGTGTCGGCCCATGAACCAGGTCACGGTTCGATTCCCGGTCAGGGCACATGCCCAGGTTGTGGCTCAATCCTCAGGAGGGATTCTTTCTCAATGCCTCTCTCTCTCCCTCTCCCTTCCTCTCTGCAATCAATAAAAACAGAGTTTCTTAAAATATTAAAAAGGAATGAATGAACTATAGGACAAGGAAAGGGCATGAAGACAGCCGCTGGACTTTGAGAAAAAAACCCAGATCCTAAGGAAGTACACATCTACTACTAAGTCCCCCCCATAAAAAAAACAAACAAAGAAATGCAGGGTTATTCAGATGGCATCGAAGCGATAAGAGAAAAAGCTAATCATTGGACTGAGCAGGCAGTAAGGAGGTCAGAGTCTGCGGCAGAGTGGCTGACTGAAGGCCAGAGATAAAGGGGTTCTTTCTAAGAGGGAAGTCTTTCATCGACCTCCGTCCGCCCATGGACCGAGTGAGAGGCCGGCACCTTCCCCTCAGCTCACACACCCCTTTGCCATCGCTCTCCATACCCCTTCCCAGTCCCACAACCAAGTACCAGGTTCCACGGGGAGTTCCCCTCGTTGGCACCCCCTGTCCTGGCCGGGGGGGTGTCTGGGATGTAAGAGATGGGGAGTCTTTGTTCTGGTAGCAAGGACCTAGAGGCAAGAAAATTGAACTAGTCTTTCCCGGGGACTTCCTCTGTACCAGTAGCAGGCTACTTTACAGGCCTCCATCTGACAGTGATCGCGAGGAGTGGCCCCATTTCTCAGATGAGGAATGTGTGTCCAAGACCACACAGCTGGGCCGTGACACAGCCTGTCCCAGAACCCGGGAAGGCAGCCTCCAGAGTATTCCGATAGCCCTGACATCTCACAGGAGGGGGACGTGGTCCAGCCACTCCAGGCTAGAACTCAGAACCCACAATTCTCCAACACCCTGTTATAAACGTGGGTGAGTCTATAGGACCACTCGCACAGCGGGCGTGCAGTGAGCGAACAAAGCTGTGGGGGCCTGACCTAGGAAGCTAAAAGCGACTTGTCATTTTACTCCTACATAATTACCCTGATCAGCATCACAAACAAAAATGAACCTCAAAAATGAGTTTTTGGATCACAAAGGGTCCTTAAATGAGGCTTCCCTTTAAGACTATTTTTCTTCCACAAAAAAAGTAAATAAATAAAAAATAAAAATAAAAAAACCACGCAGGATAGAAACGATCCCGCCTGTTGCCTTGTGAGAGCAGGGGCGCTGGCAGACCCTGCGGGGACCTGCTTGTCTGGCTGGGCCTCACTCACCGTGGGCTGTCATTTGAATAAAACACCACCCTCAGCCCTAGAGACAGGACTTATGATGGAGGCGCCACACCCCATGGCACGCCGGGGGACAGGCCTGTAATGTACTGACAGCGTGTACTCCTCAGCCACGCGAAACCCGGGGCCTGGTGTGAAATCAGACATCTGTGGACTCGTCTCCCTTGGCCCGGAGAGCAGCATTAGTTAGACACACTAACTACACGGCTGAGCTGTATTATTAAACCCACCGCTGGGCAAAATCATGACGCTCGGACACGAAGCATCGGCGGTTTTATGTGACGCTCACTTGCCACAGGCCTTCCTGAAATCAGGAAATCCTGGCTTTCAGACTCGGCTCAGGGCAGGGAGTGTCTCCTCACTGGGGAGCAGTCAGCGTTTCTTCAACACAGGACAGAAGCGCTTCCCCTTCATCTCTCAGGCCCCACCTGTGTGGGCAGGGCTGTGGGACCAGGCATCTGATGGGGGAGTCAGGGGTCAGGCCTCCTCCGGAGACTCTGGGATGGGCTATAACAGGATCCAATCTGCTGTGAAAATGCAAAACCCCAGGAGGCTTAGCACCTTCAGGAAAGTGAAATACTAGATCCTTTCCCACAATCACAAGAAAAGTCCTAAGAATGTGAGGGGTGACCAGAGAGAGACAGGGAGGGAAATTAGCGGGCCAGTGGCTGGTTGCACACACTCTTGGTAAGTATGCTCACTGCTCTGTTTCAACAGATGACAACCTAAGGAGCAGAGAAGTGTTAACAGGCCCAGAGGGCAGATCGAGCAAAATCAGAGCCAGGAATCAAGCCTGCGTCTAAAAGACTGTCTGCAGCCCTAGCCAGTTTGCTCAGTGGTTGGAGCATTGGCCCAAGGGCTGAAGGGTCTCGGATTCCATTCTGGTCAAGGGCACATACCTCGGTTGCAGGCTCGATTCTGGCCCCTGGTGGTGGTGGGAGAATGTGGGAGGCAACCAATCAATGTGCCTCTCTCACTGTGTGTGTGTGCGTGTGTGCGTGTGTGCGTGTGTGTGTGTGTGTGTGTGTGTGTGTGTGTGTCTCCTCCTACCTTCCACTTTCTCTAAAAAACAATGGGGAAAAATATCCTCGGGGGAGGATTAATAAAAATAAATAAAAGCCTGTATGTAAAAGGCATGCTACTTCTACTTGAGGATTTGGGGTGAAACAGGAATGGTGGTAAATAGCCAGAAATGTGGAGATAAAAGGCAGACATTTAGAATTTTGCCGAATAGAAATATATAATTATGAAATTAAGCCAAAGAAATCAACCCCAACTGCTGACAGTGGCACTGTGAGAGGGAGTTCCAAGGAGACTTGCCTTCTACCTTTCATATCCTCGCAAGATTCCACTCTTTGTCACTTTTTTAAACCTATGTAACCAGAAAAAGACACCTTTATCACTCGGATAAAAAATGCAGGCCGCGTACAGAAGCCCAGGCGAGTGAACGCCGGTATTTATTTCCTACCGTGACCATCCCTGCCCTCGCCAGGCCTCCCGCCTGTGTCACCCTAAGGGAGAACCCGAACACAGATCCTCGTCTAATGATGATGCGGGCACCACACCCTGACGCACTGGAAACTGACCACACTGCTCACTCAGGACAACAAGAGGGCCAGGCGGCCTGGGGGGCTCCTGACGGACAGGCCCAGCAAGGCAGGGAAAGGGCTGCCCCGCCCCGCCCACCCGTGGCCAGCAGAACCTGGGGGCCTTGTACATTACCACTTAGCTGTTCAGAAAATCCTCGGAAAACTGGTGAAGGCTCCACCCAAAGAGCCATCCCCGCCAGTCTCCGCGCCCCCCCCATCCCCCTCATCCAGAGGTAAAACAATCTCTGTTGCATCATCAGATGAGAGGGAGCCCATCATCAATTAAACAACTATTCTCGGGGTTTCCAGAAAGTCAGTGCTGTGGTCACCGGCCTCACGATTCAAACACATACAAAGGCAGGTGCAGGCGCAGGGGGCGGGCGGGATGCCAGAGGGCAGCCCGTTTCCCATGGGCATCTCAGAGGCGGGTTTCCCGCTCCTGCTGGTGGCTCACAGAATGTAATTAATTCAAAGCCTTGACTTATGTGGGACCGAGGGGGTGCAGAGGTGCTCCCGCCCTTCTGGGAGAGGCTGGGTGTCACATCACCAGCGAGAGGCGAGAGGCCTGGGGAGGGAGGTGCTGGCGGGGGATGGAAAAGCCCAGGAAAAAGGCCGAGGAAAGAGGCCCCGCTGAACATCACAGCGACCCCCCAAGGGCTTCCAGGTGCTGTTTGTTTGGCAACTTTTCAGGAGAGAAGAGAATGCTGGTGAGGGGGTCTCACAGCCAGAGTCCCCACAAGGAGGCCCAGCCTGGCCATTGCTCCCTCCCGCGAAGCTGGGGAGAAGGTCCCCAAAGAAACTCAACGCTGTCATGTTGCTATGCACTGTGCTGCATTCTGTGCTGTATGCACTCTGTGCTGTATGCACTGTGCTGTATGCACTCTGTACTATATGCACTCTGTGCTGTATGCACTCTGTACTATATGCACTGTGCTGTATGCACTCTGTACTATATGCACTGTGCTGTATGCACTCTGTACTATATGCACTGTGCTGTATGCACTCTGTACTATATGCACTGTGCTGTATGCACTCTGTACTATATGCACTGTGCTGTATGCACTCTGTACTATATGCACTGTGCTGTATGCACTCTGTACTATATGCACTGTGCTGTATGCACTCTGTACTATATGCACTGTGCTGTATGCACTCTGTACTATATGCACTGTGCTGTATGCACTCTGTACTATATGCACTGTGCTGTATGCACTCTGTACTATATGCACTGTGCTGTATGCACTCTGTACTATATGCACTGTGCTGTATGCACTCTGTACTATATGCACTGTGCTGTATGCACTCTGTACTATATGCACTGTGCTGTATGCACTCTGTACTATATGCACTGTGCTGTATGCACTCTGTACTATATGCACTGTGCTGTATGCACTCTGTACTATATGCACTGTGCTGTATGCACTCTGTACTATATGCACTGTGCTGTATGCACTCTGTACTATATGCACTGTGCTGTATGCACTCTGTACTATATGCACTGTGCTGTATGCACTCTGTACTATATGCACTGTGCTGTATGCACTCTGTACTATATGCACTGTGCTGTATGCACTCTGTACTATATGCACTGTGCTGTATGCACTCTGTACTATATGCACTGTGCTGTATGCACTCTGTACTATATGCACTGTGCTGTATGCACTCTGTACTATATGCACTGTGCTGTATGCACTCTGTACTATATGCACTGTGCTGTATGCACTCTGTACTATATGCACTGTGCTGTATGCACTCTGTACTATATGCACTGTGCTGTATGCACTCTGTACTATATGCACTGTGCTGTATGCACTCTGTACTATATGCACTGTGCTGTATGCACTCTGTACTATATGCACTGTGCTGTATGCACTCTGTACTATATGCACTGTGCTGTATGCACTCTGTACTATATGCACTGTGCTGTATGCACTCTGTACTATATGCACTGTGCTGTATGCACTCTGTACTATATGCACTGTGCTGTATGCACTCTGTACTATATGCACTGTGCTGTATGCACTCTGTACTATATGCACTGTGCTGTATGCACTCTGTACTATATGCACTGTGCTGTATGCACTCTGTACTATATGCACTGTGCTGTATGCACTCTGTACTATATGCACTGTGCTGTATGCACTCTGTACTATATGCACTGTGCTGTATGCACTCTGTACTATATGCACTGTGCTGTATGCACTCTGTACTATATGCACTGTGCTGTATGCACTCTGTACTATATGCACTGTGCTGTATGCACTCTGTACTATATGCACTGTGCTGTATGCACTCTGTACTATATGCACTGTGCTGTATGCACTCTGTACTATATGCACTGTGCTGTATGCACTCTGTACTATATGCACTGTGCTGTATGCACTCTGTACTATATGCACTGTGCTGTATGCACTCTGTACTATATGCACTGTGCTGTATGCACTCTGTACTATATGCACTGTGCTGTATGCACTCTGTACTATATGCACTGTGCTGTATGCACTCTGTACTATATGCACTGTGCTGTATGCACTCTGTACTATATGCACTGTGCTGTATGCACTCTGTACTATATGCACTGTGCTGTATGCACTCTGTACTATATGCACTGTGCTGTATGCACTCTGTACTATATGCACTGTGCTGTATGCACTCTGTACTATATGCACTGTGCTGTATGCACTCTGTACTATATGCACTGTGCTGTATGCACTCTGTACTATATGCACTGTGCTGTATGCACTC